TAACAGAGAGATAGGCCAGCTGCTGGCCCCACCCCATTTCCTCCAAGAAGACTAATGGGCACTGAAGAAACTTCATCTCGAGTCAGTGACAATGCTGGTCACTGAGCAACCCTGCCCTACACCTCACTCCAGGCCGTGGACAAGAGGACAGTGGAATCAACTTTCCCTGTGTTGCTTGGACCAACAGTAGGCAAGTCTTCCTATAGCCTGTAATCCATAGGTCACATGCTATCAGCAAGAAGGCAGGTGTCCTGCAGCCCGCTACTGTGGATGGAGGATCTTGGGATGGCTGTCCATGCAGCCTGCTGGCAAGTCTCTGTTATTCTTTAATCATTGATTCAGGTAAAATCTTATCCTTCTCAAGAACTCTGATGCTTCTGACAACTGGTAGTTTGCCAGCTTAAAGCAAAACAGATTTCAGGAACAGGTATTTTGGAGTTTATCTATGTGAAGATAGTAAAGTGTAAGAGTTATGAAGGTCTGGGAATGTAGTTATGAAGGTCTGAGGATGGAAGGTATAAAGGTCTGAGAATGGAAGGTCTAAGATGGTAATGTAAGATATATGAATTAAAGTTATGAAAGTCTGAGGATAAAAAGGCTTAAGTGATGATAAAGTGAGTTAAGACATTAAAAAGAATAAAATATGTTCCTGATTTCTCTATTTCTCATGCTACTGTTCATAGTAAACTTCTACAATACCACTGTACTATCATAACTATTAGGTCAAGATTAAGATGCTTTTCATTGTCCTAAAAAATATCTGTCAATTTTAAAATGGTAATGCTTTCAGCCAAGTTGCTTCTAACATGAATATGCTGCTAATGTGTCTAATACTTATGTTTCCACAAGCTCTAAGGATTCTTGTAAGTTCCAGGGAGTTGAATTGGATCCAAACATACAGGTCAGATTCATTCCAGTTATTCAATCTTTCCCTGGTCCCAGGGCTCCCTGCTCTCATGTTGGGACTCCTAGGGAATGCCTCCCTCATCTTATAATCTTCCCCTCAAGTGACAGGACCTAAGAAAATTTTTTTTTTCTAAACTTAACCTTGTCCTCTGCTGCCAACATCTTGACAGGTCTAAGAGACGCCAGGGAGTCCCATACAGCCTGGACCACAATGAAACAACCATCTACCCCAGGACGTGGCAGCACCCCAATCTTCTCAGATCCCCCCAAAGACGATCAACGCCCCAGGTCAGCAGGAAGCAGCCTTGAGATTTCTTCGTCCCTACTTCCTAACCTGCCACACCCAATTCTCCAACTTTTATAATAAACAACAGCCGGGATTGTAAGAACAATACACCTGGATGACCCCGCCCCCCTAACAACAGGCAGGGCACACACAGGAAAACTTGCTACGTCATCACCACATCACCCGCCATGCATTGCGGCCTTCGTGAGGACTCTGCATATGTGCGAAACCTCAGTGTGCATGCGTAGTCTTCCCCTTAAAAGCAACAACTTCCCTGCTGCTCTCTCTTTTACTCTCTCTCTCTCTGTTTCTTCTTGGCTCTCTCTCACCTAGGCGCTTTTTCTGCCTCTCTGTGGCAACTGGCCATGGCGGTCAGCCATTACCCCTGTTCCTCTTCTCTCTTAGTCTCTCTACTCTGCCGAGCTCATAATGAAGGACTTTAGAATTAACAAAGAAATAACTAAGAAGAAAAACAATCCTCTCATCCTAAGAACAGGGAGACCTGACTTAAAACCTAACCAAGGTCACAATGACCCAAGCCCCTGGAATTTCTTAGCTGGCAGATATAACTCCCTTACAAGGCCACAAGACAACCTAACTGAATACCAAGAATTCCTAAGAGGGCCACCTCTTAGCTGGCAGATTAACTCCCTTACAAGGCCACAAGACAACCTAACTGAATACCAAGAATTCCTAGAGGGCCACCCTGCCCTAGGGTCATGAAGATAGAAACAGACTATCCCACTGAGCCAGGAGACCATCCGGCCCCAAAGATAAGAGATCTCCAAAGGATCTGTGACTCTGGTCACGTACCCAAACCCCTAAAAGCCTATGGTTTTTTCTCCTATAAAAGGAGCCTGCTTTAGAGGAACAGGGCTTCTTCTTTGTCTGTCGGAGTGGGAAGCCCGTTTGCGCAAACGTCCCATAATAAACTTACCTCTTGTTTTTGCATCAGCTGGACTGGACATTGAGTGTTTTGGGGGGGATCGTCTGATTTGTAGAGACTCCTCGGTCCGAGGGTCTTTCATTAATAAACTAGTTAATATGTCTCATCTGCCTCTCTCTTTTTCTTCAAAAACATAACACTCCCATCCCACCTCCCATCTGCTCCTCAGAGAGGGTAAGGCCTCCCGTAGGAAGTCAACTAAGTGTGTCCTATTATCTTGTTGAGGCAGGACCAAGCGCAACGCCGCCACCCCCCCCCCCATGTCTAGGTTGAGCAAGGTATTTATTTCTCCATTCTATCTTACTATCTTAAAGACAGGATCTTTTTTCTCCCCGTCCCCCTCCCTGCGCACCTGACTGGGTTTCTCTGTCAAACAGTTACGACCATCCTGGAACTCACTGTGTAGACCAGGCCAGAGATTCACCTGCCTCTGCCTCCCCTAGGGAGTGCTGGTGGAACTAAAGATGTGTGCCCAGCCTGATTCCCCATTTTTCAATGAATTTGCTGGAGCGGGGCCTCTGTACATAGCCTTGGAAATTACTACCTAGATCAGACCTGCCAGCAATTCACGAGTTCCACCTGCCTCTGTTTCCTGAATTAAAGGCGTGCACTACCACACCCAGATTTCTTTTATTTTTATAATTCTGTGAAGGTTTTTCTCTCTGTCTGCTTTTAATTTCTTTTTTTCTGTTATTGTACATTAAATTTAATTTCAAATTTTAAATCGTGTGTCTCTGGGCACGTGCTCGCGTGCGTGCGTGCGTGCGTGCGTGCATGCATTTTGCCTAGTGACCTCACCAAGAAGGAAGCAACCATGTGACATACTTTTCAAGGTCTTTTATGTTCTCAGTTTTTCCTGGCCACTAAAGGGAAAGGGGGAAAAAAAATAACAAACCAGGCATTGGTGGCACATGCCTTCAATACCAGCAACAAGAGGGAGGCAGACACAGGTGAGTTTGAGGCCAGGATAGGCTCCAAAGCTACAGAGAAAACGCCTGTCTCGAAAAACCAAAATAATAATAATAATAGTAATAATAATAATAACAATTAACAAATATAAAACTCATGTATTTATTTTATGCATGAGTGCTCTGCCTGCATAGATGCCCTTTCACCAGAAGAGGGCACAAGATCCCACCATGTGGTCTCTGGAAATTCTAGAAATTCCATCTCCCTGGGCCCGAATCTTTAGTGTGTGTGTGTGTGTGTGTGTGTGTGTGTGTGTGTGTGTGCATTGGTGGGAGAGTGGGTACTTGTATGATACTGGAGCATGGGGAGGGCGTGGGGGCAGGAAGCATCCAGACC